AATAATAATAATAATAATAATAATAATAATAATAATAATAATAATAAAAGCCTACACATGCCCAGAACTGAACAACTCTCTACTCAATGGCAGCTGGGTCAAAGAAGAAATAAAGAAAAAAATAAAGACTTCCTAGAATTCAATGAAAATGAAGGCACAATATACCCAAAGTTATGGGACACAATGAAAGCAGTGTTAAGAGGAAAGTTCATAGCAATAAGTGCATTCAGAAAGAAATTTGAAACATCTTATACAAGCAACTTAAAGGCATACATGAAAGCCATAGGAAAAAAGAGTAAACACAACTAAGAGGCATAGACAGCTTGAAATAATCAAACTCAGGGTTCAAATCAATAAACTTGAAACAAACAATTCAAAGAATCAATGAAACCAAGAGCTCATTCTTTGAGAAAATCAACAAAATAGACAAACCCTTAGCCAAACTAATTAAAAGGCAGAGAGACACTATCAAAATCAAAAATGAAAAGGGGGAGATAATGACAGAAACTGAGGAAATCCAAAGAATCATTAGGTTGTACTTTAAAAGCCTACACACGACAAAATTTGAAAATCTAAATAAAATGGAAAATTTTCTTGAGCAATTCCACTTACCAAAGTTGAATCAAGATCAGGTAAATAAATTAAATAGTCCTGTATCTCCTAAGGAAATAGAAGTAGTCATCAAGTTTCTCTACCAAAAACAGACCAAGGCCAGATGATTTTGGTGCAGAATTCTACCATACCTTCAAAGAAGAGCAAATACCAATACTCTTCAAACTATTTCACAAAATAGAAATTGAAGAAACATTACCAACCTCATTCTATGAGACCACAGTCACCTTGGTACCTAAACCTCATAAATGCCCAGCAAAGAAAGAGAATTTCAGACCAATTTTCCTTATGAACATTGACACAAAAATATACAATAAAATACTCGCAAAATGAATCCAAGAACACATCAAAGATATAATCCATTATGACCAAGTAAGCTTAATCCCAGGCATGCAGGGGTGGTTCAGTATACAAAAATCCATCAATGCAATCCACCATATAAATGAACTGGAAAAAAAAAAGCAACAACAACACATGATCCTCTCCTTAGATGCTGAAAAATCATTTGATAAAATATAACACCCATTCATGTTTAAAGTCTTAGAGAGATTAGGGATACAAGGCACATACCTAAACAAAATAAAGGCAAAATACAGTAAGCCTATAGCCAACATCAAACTAACTGGAGAGAAAGTTCAATAAATTTCACTGAAATCAGGAACAAAGTAAGACTTCTCACTCTTTCCGTATCTCTTCAACACAGTACTTGAAGTTCTAGCTAAAACAATAAGGGGATACAAATTGGAATGGAAGAAGTCAAAGTATCACTATTCACAGATGATATAATAGTATACATGAGTGACCCCAAAAATTCTACCAGGGAACTCCTACAGCTGATAAACACCTTCAACCAAATGGCTAGATACAAAATTAACTAAAACAAAAAAACAAAACAAAACAAAACAGTAGCCCTTTTGTATACAAAAGACAAGTGGGATGAGAAAGAAATTAGGGAAACAACACACTTCACAATAGCCACAAAAAATATAAAGTATCTTGGTGTAACTCTAACCAAACAAGTGAAAGATTTATATGAAAAAAACTTCAGGTCTCTGAAGAAAGACATTGAAGAAGATATTAGAAGATGAAAAGATCTCCCATGCTCACAGCTCGGTAAGATTAACATAGTAAAAACTGCCATCCTACCAAAGGGAATCTACATATTCAATGCAATTCCCATCTAAATACCAACAAAATTCTTTACAGATCTTGAAAGAACAATTCTCAACTTCATATGGAATAACAATCGCTAAAACAATCTTCTAAAATAAAAGATCTTCTGGAGGTATCTCCATCCCTGATCTCAAGCTGTACTGTAGAGAAACAGTAATAAAAACTGCATGGTACTGGCATAGAAACAGAATGGTGGATCAATGAAATAGAATCTAAGACCCAGAAATAAACTCACTCACCTACAGACACCTGATTTTTTACAAAGATGCCAAAACTATACAATGGAAAAAAGCATCAAATGGTGCTGGTCTAACTAGTTGTCCACATGTAGAAAAATGCAAATAGACCCATATCTATCACCCTGCACAAAATTAAAGTCCAAGTGGATCAAAGACCTCAACATAAAAGCAGACACACTAAATCTGTTGGAAGAAAAAGTGGGGAAGAGCCTTGAACTCATTGGCACAGGAGACAACTTCCTGAATAGAGCACCAACAGCTTAGGCTCTGAGATCAACAATTAATAAATGGGAACTCATGAAACTGAAAAGCTTCTGTAAAACAAAGAACACTGTCATCAGAACAAAATGACAGCCTAAAGACTGTGAAAAGATCTTCTACAACCCTACATCGAACAGAGAGCTAATATCCAGAATATATGAAGAACTCAAGAAATTAAATACCAACAAACCAATTCCCAATTTAAAAAGAGCCAAACAGAAAATTCTCAACAGAGGGTTACTGAATGGCGGAGAAACACTTAAAGAAATGCTCAACATCCTTAGTCATCAGGGAATTACAAACAACTCTGAGATTACAAATGGCTAAAATAGAAAAACATACTAAAATCCACATACCAAAGAAGCTGAACAACAAGGAGGACCCTAGGAAAGATGTTTAATTCTCATTCAGAATTAAGCAGCTTGACATAGACCAGAATTCTGGTCTAGCTGCATAGACCAGAAGCGGTGGAAGAGAGGGAACAGTATGGGATAGATGTTCTCTGAAAGGCTCCACCCAACAGGGGATTGATTCAGATGCAGATACTCTCAGCCAAACTTTGGGCAGAGCATAAGGAGTCTATTGGAAGAAGCCGGGCATAGAAGGACCTGGTCTCCACAAGGAGTCCAACATGGGGGCCTGCAGAGACTGCTGCACGAACCAGAAACCATGTATTGACAAGACCTAGACACCCTGCTCAGATGTAACCCATAGGCAGCTCAGTCTCCATGTGGGTACCTGAGTAAGAGGAACAGGGGCTGAACTCAGTTGCCTGCTTTTTGATCACTTCTCCCTGGAAGTACAGCCTTGTCAGCCCACAGAGGAAGAGGATCCAGGCAGTCCTGATGAGTCTCGATAAGGTAGGAGCAGATGGTAGGAGAGGAGGACTCCCCCTTTCAGTGGACTAGGGGAAGCGGATAGGAAAAGAAGAGGGAGGGGTGGGACTAGAAGAAAATGAGGGAGGAGCCTATAATCGGAATATAAAATGAATGAATTGTAAAAAAAAACAGAAAAAGAAAGAAAAAGAAAAAGGAAAAAAGAAATGGTATTAGCATTTTTTGAAACGGTATGGGTTTGCTGCATCCATTTATCCATGATACTGTTAATTAGTTATTTCCATAAAATTCCAGAACTTAGAATTTAATATATTCATAATTATTAAATTATTTTAATAAAATATTAATGTTTATAAAGAACACCTTTATCCATCTGTTATATAGCTTTACCTGAAGAGGATTGTCTTGTCACTGGGGATGTAGTAGTCCCTGATTTCCTTTATGGTGAAGGTGTTGCACGGAGAGTCTCGGGAAAGAAATGGGAGCGGGTTGTAAGAGCCAATGAGCCGCAGTTTCCACCGTGCACCCGGCACATATGAGTCGCCAGTACACGCTTCAGCCACGAATGTGTACCCTTTCTAAAAGAGAAGGCCACCATACGTATAGGACTCACATTACCACTAGTCTCTCAGATGTGTGCTCCGCATATTGAAATAAATGTTACTATATTGTTACATCTACATTGAGCCCTAGCTCTCCTAAAAATCATCAGACCATAAACATTATATTTAAAATTCTTCTTAGAAATAATCAACTTGGCCTAGCTTGAGACCCGTTCTACGGGAGAGAATCAGTCCCTGACACTATTAATGTTACTCAGGTATGCTTGTACATAGAAGGCTACTACAACTCCTCTGAAAAGCTTCACCAAGCAGCTGACGGAAAGAGGTGCAGAGACCCACAGCCAAGCAGTAGGTCAAGCTTGGGGAGCCTTGTGGAAGATTGGGGAGGAGGAGTGAGGGAACCAGAGGGGTCAAGGACAACACAGAAAGACCTACAAAGTAAACTAACCTGGATTACCTGGGCCCGTGGGGGCTCACAGAGACTGAACCATCAACCAAAGAGCAGGCCTGGGCTGGACCTAGCCCCCCTACACATATGCAGCAGATGAGCAGCTTGTTCTTCAGGGGTCCCCTAACAATGGGAATAGGGGCTGTCTCTGCTGTGTTGCCTCCCTTTGGATTCCTTTCCCCTAGCTCGGTTGCCTGTCTGGCTTCAGTGGAAGAGGATGTGCCTAGTTCTAGTATGACTTAATGTACCAGGGTGGTTTGGTACCCATGGGGGACATCCCCTTCTCTGAGGATAAGAGATGGGGGTGGGGTGGGGAAAGGGTTGTGAGGGTGGGACCAGAAGGAAAGGCAGGAGGGAGCTGCAATCAGGCTGTAAAGTGAATATATAAATTTAAAAAAGGAAAAAAATATCTTAAGGATGAGGATGTATCTGAGTGACAGGTGCTTGCTTAGTTTGTGTGAATTCCTGTGTCAGATCCCCAGTGCTGTAAACAAACAAATAAACTCTGAAAATTCTCACCAGTCAGGGCTCTAAATGATACTGTTCTGTCTTTGAAAAATGATGACAGGAGTAGAAGAAACAACTGTTGGTTTAATTGAAGGAGCAGATATATCTGCAAGCCTAAGTCTAGTGAGGGTCCTAATCAAGCTTCAAAGCAAGCCTTATGAAAATCCAAGGAACAAAACAGGCTCCTGCAAGCCAACATGAGTTTGCAAGGAAGAACTTCATTAGATCATAAAACTAATACAGAAGTAAATAATGACAAAGTTGTTGAATTTTACATAGTGCAGGTAAGTCTTCATGAGGTCTTCAGGCAGGTAACCAAGTTGAGTAACACTCAGGGCTACATTTGATGTATCTTGCATTAGTTTTAGACATCCTCTATGAAGGTAAAGTTTTTCACCTATCTCTAGAGACCATCTCTGGGATATCACATCCAGATGGTTCATCAGTGCCAGAGCAAATTATTTAATGGTAGAAATGCCATGCAGGTAAATGACAAGGGCTTCAATTTGTAGCAGTGTCTTCCAAGACATGTTTTATGAAATATTGACCCTATATATTTTATGAAAATGGGTTTCTAAGATGTAGTGCATTTAGAAAGGATTGCACTTTCCCCCTCTGGAGATATTCAATATATGTTAGCTTATGAAAAATCCCGAGAAATAACTAATTTATTCTGTATTTTTTCCTTAATTTTTAGGATACTACACCTTATATAGAAAACAAATACCTTGAAGAACACAAATTGTACAGTGATATATTTGAAACTGATGACTTTCAGTAAGCCATATAACTAATATAACTTGTTTGGTGAAGAAGAGAACATTTCCAGATTTTCATGGCATCTATGACTTTGCTTAATTCTTTCTTTACACTAGTGGTTTTCAGTGATCTCTTTAGGAGCCCAATGACTTTTTAACAAGGGTGGCCTATAAGACCATTGGAAAACACAGTTATTTATATTACCATTCATAACAGTTGCAAAATTATAGCTATGTAGTAGCAACGGAAATAATTTTATGGTTGGGGTCACCACACATGAAGAACTGTATTAAAGGGTTGAAGCATTAAGAAGGATGAAGAATAGATGTAAAATGTACTAATTCAATAAGAAACTTAACAGCTCCTTTGAACTACTTTAGAGATTTGAGGGAACATTTTTGTTTTAAACAAGGAAAATATTTTATATATATAATTTTAAGACAAAGTTCTGCTATGTAGCATATAGGCTTTCCTGGAACCCACCATGTAAACTCAGTTTCTCTATTATTTTTCATTGGCTAAATCTTTTTGATTTCACATCAGATTTTATAACATTGGGAGTTAGTATCAAATCGTACCTAGTATATTAAATTATTTTTACCTTATATTAAACCAGGCAATACCACATAATAGTTTATGGGACAATCTGGTAAACATTAACATGTTATATGGAAGTCATCTATATTTGATATTATGTTCTGAACCTCAAAAGAAAAAAATACAGTCATAATCCAGAGAGAAAAAGGAAAAGTTCAAAACCACACATCTATAGAATGGAAATTAGGAATAAAAACAACTCTCCTAGTTTCCAGCCCATACCCACTACATTTGGCAAGATTCCCTAATGGGGATTGTGACTGAAAACATGAAGAAGAAATTAAAATACTGACAGAGGATACATCTGATGGAAGGCAGGGTCTCTCATTCATTCAGCAGGCAGCCTAAAGTGCTTCTTGGCCTGAGCAAGTCATGGTACCTTCAAAGACTAAGAGTGGTGGCTGGGTTTGTGATCTCAGTCCCCAGAAATGCTGACAAGGCCAACCAAACCACATGTGTAAGAGAGGCACCTCTCTAACCTGCTTCAGTCTAGGACCAATAAACTCCTGGGACCCAGGTATGTTATAAAAGTTGATGTGGCTTTGTTTTCAACAACGGCCTATGCAGTGTACTCTTTCTGAAATGTAAAGTGTGCTGCAGCATACACATTTGCTATCTCCTGATATATGGACTCTAAGGACAGACCAGGGCACTCTTCCTCTCAGCAGAGGGCAAGCACAGCTGCCTCACTTGCTGCTGGTCTCCCAGTCCAGCAGAGGGCTTTTCAAGAGGGCTGTTTTGTCATGAGGGGAGACATTTGTACTTACCTTGTTTTTGGTGTAAAGATAAGGCACCACTTTCTGAAACACCTTGGGTACCTGCTCCATCGTGTCATTGTTAATGACGTGCAGCATACAGACCGGGAGTGTAGTATATACTTTGGGAACTATGACCATATCTTGAGGGACAAAAAATGTTTCTCTGTAATTACAAAAGCATAATCCTTTCTTAATGAGATCTTAAAGCTTGAAACAGAGTTTTATCCCAAAGATTCTCTGTAAAAACTTAAAAGTTGCAAATAACTAAAAGGCTTGCAAATCTTTTCCATTTCAAGTTATTATTACTGTGTCATTTTGATGTACAAATGCAAATTCCCAGGTTATATGTCATTCATTACTTGTACCTAATATGCTATTGCTTGGAAATAAACATTATCTATCTATACTGGGAACAGACTGACTTATTTTTATATTCACAGAAAATCTACAAATTGTTTAAATGTTTCATATTTTGATATACATAACATTCTCTGACATCTTATATATATTATATGTAATATCATATATATTATACATATATATCAAATTATATATCATGTATAGAAAAATTGCAAGCAAATATGAAAGCAGTCTAGAGGCCAATACTTTTACTGCTAACCATATTTTTATTGCTGAAACTGCAAAGCTGAACACTGCATGCCATCTGAAGATGGTATCATTCACCACTTGCCTGAATACTATAAACCAAGAATTCGGTGGCTGGTCTGGATGGTTCACCATATGGTCAGCAAAGGCCACCTTAGTCTCTTCATCTTGGTAACATGGATAAGACTCCATAGACTTACACTTGCTTTTAAACATTAGTCTAGAAATACAAAAACAAATTGAGTTTCAACTTCAGTATAAACTTCATTTACAGAAGAAATGTAGCCTCTGAAATAGCAAAATGCTGGATGCCAAAGTTTGGTGGGTTAAGGTCAATGAGGCACTGTGTGAATTGTAGCATCTGGTGTCAAAGGGTAAGACTGCAGGTCAGTCGTGAATGGTATCTTTCAAAGGTGCTTGAAGTTGTCTGACAATCTTAACTGAAGGAGAATATAATTCCCAAGCAAGGGGTGATTAATGCTCATAGAGGGAAATGGAAGCTTGATGTTTAAGCTATAAAGCAGGGCAAACTAAGCAGGAATAACAGTTGTAGAACTGGGTCTGGCCACTGAAGAATCCAACTAGAGATGAGAGACTGGAATGGAACTTGTGAAGTTAATGTGACCAATGGGTTTGGAAAATTCAATTATGAAATACTAAGGGCAGGTATCTTTCTGGCTCGTGCAACTGTGCAGGGATGCCTATGGCATCTTCCGCAACAGGGTGGGAGCTGATAAAGTTGAGGGGATAAACTCCTCACTTCCTACCAGAATCTAGATCTAGCCTCAAAAACACCAGGAATGCTGGGTCTTTTTCAAAATATCTCAGAAACTATCTATGATAGAAGCCATTATGGCCTTACAGGACAGTTTTTTACTGGAGATCTAGAAGTACTCTTCAGCTAGAAGAAGTCTGGAGGTGTTCTTTACCTTAGGAGAGAAAGTGAATATTGCTCCATATTTGTTTCTAAAGATGTCCAAATTTTTTGAAGTGTATCTGCAACGCTGGCATTTTCCTTTGTGTCTAAACAACAAAAGTAATAATAATAACAATATTAAATCCATAAGATATCTGAATAATGATCTTGTGCAATTTTCATTTTGCAAATAAAGAATTTAAAGTCCACTGTAGGAGGCACGTAGGTCCTTGTGCTCACAGATGAGTGCTAGGAAACCAGAAATACTAACACAGAATTGTCTCTTCAAATGAAAAGATATATAACCTGTTTTCCAGCCCGAAGGTTGTGAGTGGATGTGGTTAATACTGTAGTGACTTCTGTGCTGTGTATGACTAGACTATACCAGCTCCTCCAGATCCTATCATGAGTTTGTTTATCTTGAGTCCATCTTCCTCAGTTCATCAAACAACATATCTTTATGGAAAATGTCACTTTACAAGAGGTTTGATGCAGTCATGTCTTAAGTTTACTTGTGCACGCAGGACTGAAGTCCTTCTCATCAGGAAACTTGTTTCTACAGTGTGCTGAGCTTAAATATGCCTAAAATAAACTCCCTGGATCACATTTTCAAAGTTTGAACCAACACTGGCTACTGAGTCATGCTGAACAGCACTTCCTCCTTGCTTCCTATGGATTAATACTCTGCTGGACATGGTGTTCGCAAAGACTCCCACAGTTCACAAGTAAGATGCCCTAGGCTCCCAAATTTTGAGAGCAGTAAAACATGGTTAAAGCATTGAGCTATAAATATCTCAATGAGAGCACTGCTCACAGTACATTATTGTTTTCTCTCATCTCCAAAGTAAAAACATATGGTATCTTTGATGTTGTTTAAGAGATTCATGAAACAGTTTGCATAATAATATCTTCTGTGGAAAATTTCTGTGGAAAACCTTATCTCAGAAAAAGCAACCATCTAATTATTCTAACCTTAATCTACTGCACTGTCCACAAATGGCTTCATAATAGATGGATGGGCAGGGAAAAGGTCATCCTGAGTAAGTATCTCAGAGCCAACATGGCAGAAAAACACCCTCTTTTTTTTATGTCCTGCCTGGTTCCTTCACTGTTCTGATCAGTTTCTGAAATGGGAGCTGTAGCATTTGCTCGTCTCCTGTGTGTCTGACCTAAGGCAGCAGCTGTGTCTGCTTGGCCAGCTTCTCTTACTGTGCTCATCATAGGAGTATTAGCTCTGAGATTCATTCAATAAATATGAATGGAGTGAAAGAACTACATTATTAAATTGCTTGCACTTTTTCAGTTTCCACAATGGAAAAAAAAATCACTGTATGAATATAATAGTTACTACTTAGAGAAGAAAAAGAACATTTTTATCATGTAATGAGTATGATAAATTCACTTGTTTTCTAATGGGGAAAAACATGAAAATCAAGTAATTATAATTTATTTCTATCTCTAGCTTTTTCTTTCTTTTTCCTTTTTTTTCCTTTCTTTCTTCCTTCCTTCTTTCTTTCCTTTCTCCCTTTCTTCCTTAGTTCTTGATTTGGTCAATCAGATAAGCCTCAAACTAAAACTAGCAATATTCTACCCTCATAGTTCTGAGTGCAGGAAATATACGTGTGCATTCATCAGACCTTCATTTGTAATATGTTTCTATCACAAACTATTTACTCTGTTTTAAAAAAAATACCTTTCGGCATCTAGACTTTTCACTCCTTAAACAAATATTTCAATATTGTTACTAAATGTTTTCCATAGTGATATTTTTTTATAACAAAGTGTTTCAGTAAACTAAAAAGTTCTATCAAAGATAAATCTTTCTTCTCAAAGGGCAATAGATATTGCATGATGAAAATGTTTATCCCTTTTGAATTTTAATTTGATAAAATAGGTTAAAACCATACCTGGCATTCGAGCTTTTAAGAGAAGTCTAACATAGGTCCCTTTCCACATGGACTGAATTTTCACTGCAGCAGCTACCTCTTCAGGAGAATACTCCTTCTCATTTATTGGCATACAGTATTTAAGGTCTACCCATTCCGCTGGCAAGAGAAAGACAAAAACTGGATTGGGATTTACATATAATTCTTTTCCCAAAATTTTAATGCCAGCAGCTTCAAAAGCCTTTAGACATATCACTCCTCAGGGATGGATTGAACATCCCATTTCACATTGTCCACCGAGCTGAGGTAATGGTCTGGATAAGGAAACTGTGATATTTTGATGAATTGAAAGGAAATGGAATAGTGAGAATAGAAACAGAACATGGTGAGAAGGAAGAAAGAAACTGGGGCATCTCCTCAAGGTTCCTCAATTCATAGCAGGCAGGTCAACAACAAGTACAAAGGAATTCTGGGTCCCATGGAAGTACATATGACAAAGGGTTGGAAAGCTTCTCAGCAAACCTTAGGAGCCCTTGGAGCATCCTGGAGAGAGCTTGAACTTTGAACTCCATGGCTCTCTGGCAGATCTGTTGTCTTTGCTACATAACAGCTGAACATACCCTTTTTAAATTATTCATCACTTCTATGCTCAAATACTTAAAATTAATCAGTACCCAAAGAGGTGTCCTCTGAGAGGGAGTCCAGGAAGACCGTGTCTAAAACCATAGCCCGAAATGCAAATTTGAAGTTTGAAGGAGGCTTGGCTACTAGAGATTTTTTCATTAAACGCCATAATGATATGTGAAAAACCTGAAAAATATAAAAAATATTCACAGACATTCACAGACACGAACACACACACATATAATTAACAATAGTGGGACAATCTAGGTTGAACTATGTATGGCAAACGGAGCTGAGTTGTTCTTTAGCAGGTTAGCCTTGTCTGTCTAGAGTGTATCTGCAAAGGTTGCGTCTGTTTGAATATGTGACAAGGCAGACATTTGTCATTGCAGATTCAGCTGAATGCCTGGGACTTATATTGTGGTCTACCTTGATGTTCATAAAATGGTTTATGTCTCCTCTGCTTAGCAAAGTGCTCTTCTAGGTTAGGCACAGCCTTAGTTTATAAAGACTTTGCCAACAACATCCAATATCAGCTTACATGTGAGTAACGGTAAAATATATTTTTAATGTAAAGAATTTTTTTGTGATTTCATTCAGCATGGTGAATACTGTTAGCTTATACAAAATTACTGAATACCCTGTAGTTTTCATTCTGACTAGGAAATCCTTTTCTCAAAGGTTATGTACTAAGGTCTGAGGCATTTCCTGTTGTCACAACATGGTGTTATTGGCATATGCTGTGATGACAAGTGATCTGTGACACATCCCACAGGGCATAAGACAGTCCCAAAACAAAAATAATTCAGCTTATTCAGCTTGAATGTCAATCGCTCAGAGGCAAAACCAACAAAAAAAAAAAAAAAAAAAAAAAA